TTTCACGAGAGGTGATAACCTATCACGGCATATGAATAAGTTTCATGGAGAAAATATACATCAATCGGATGTTATGCTGAAACATCCGTTTACTATGATAGCAGGTATAGGTATAGTCTGATAGATGTATAAATACACAAATATAGAAAAAGAGCTTGGTAATGTATTAAAATTATTTTTTGTTGTTGTATTTTCAGCCGGACCAACATCGTCGGGGAAGACCTGGCTTATGAAGCACTTGATTCAAAATATTGAACGGTATATATCCCCAATTCCTAGAAGAATTATCTGGTGTTATGGTCAATGGCAGCCTGCCTACGAAGAGCTAAGAAAAAACCCACGTTTGGAATTTGTGAAGGGAATACCAGAGGATATTGATGATTCAAGATACCTTGACACTTCGGTTCCTACTTTGATACTTCTCGATGATCTTATGAATGAAGCAACAAATGATCAACGGATATGTGATCTCTATAGCAAAGGCAGTCACCATCGAAATCTGTCTGTGATATGCCTGCTCCAGAATATGTATCATCAAGGAAAAATGAATAGATCGATGAGCTTAAACTCTCACTATATGATACTATTCAATAACCCGAGAGATCGCCAACAGGTGGCATTCTTATCGAGACAGATGTACCCCGGAAATGGAAACAAGTTGGTCAGAGCATATACCAACGCAACTAGTCGACCCTATGGTTACTTGCTTCTTGATCTGAAGCAAGAAACCTCGGAACACAGCAGATTGAAACCAAATGCCTTTACTAAAAGTGAAGTTGAATTTGAAAGTCATCACGATTCCCGCACCTACAAGGAACCAATGAATGATTCAAAACACTTACTTGAAAGACAGGGTATTTCAGAAGTCGACTATCCGACGACAACATTTATAAATAGTAGGGATGTTAAGAACTACCCTTACTTGGAACGTGAAGTTCGAGAAGACAACATGGTATCCTGTGATGACTGTGGTTTAGTATTTGAAAGCATTCACGACTTACAGAGGCATATAAAAAATTGGTGTCAAGATCAGGGACCACTACCCAAGAGGATGAGGACCCAGTCTACCCAAAATATTGAGGAGAAGATTCCTCAAGACAAAGACAATGACGTTGATGACGATGATGGTGATTTGAAAGCAAATGAAACATTTGCATTCTTAAAGAAGTGGTCAATAAGACAGAATGAGGAAGACCACAGACGTAAAGTGGATGAGTATATGGATAGAGGGATGGATAAGACAGAGGCCGTAGAAAAGGCAGATGATAAACTATTATCGAAGTATAAGGAAGAATTTATGAAAGGATATAAACAATTCGTCAATCTAACAGTTGATGTAAAAGACAATGCGTTACACAGAAATATAATTGATTCGATAAATAATATGACGAGGAGGGGTGTCTCTGTGAACTTAGCCATTAGGAAGACACTTTTAAAAAACAAACACAAGTTTGATGAGGTCTTTATAGAGGATACCGACCAGGAAAGTAGCTCTGAGGAAGAACAGAGTGAATCCGAAAACGAGGCTGTTGAATCAAGCACTGAGTGATAAATATTAGCAATTTAAAGAGAGATCGTCATTAAGGAGTCAGATTCCGACAGTGTAAGATGGCATATCAAGACTATTTAAAGAAATTATACTTCGACAGTCGAAATTCTGGAGCCTTTGCTGGACCAGACAAACTCTATAGAGCTGTACTAAATGATGGGAAATACCAGCTGTCCCGTTATCAGATAAAGAAATGGCTGGACAATCAAGAAGCTTATGGCCTACAGAGACCTTCTAAGGGACAATTTACTCGGAACAAAGTATATGTTTCACATATTGATGAACAATGGGATGCTGATCTCATGGATATGTCTACTTGGTCAACAGAGAATGACAATACGAAGTTTATCCTCGTCGTCATTGACATCATGTCCCGTTTTGCCTGGGTGAAGCCTCTACCTAATAAGACGGGTAAAGCTGTTGCAGAGGCCTTTGGTGACATCTTCAAAGAAGGGCAACGTCAACCAGATGTCATAAGAACGGATAAAGGTCAAGAATTTCGTGCGAGGGTCGTACAGACATTGCTGGCTCGATGGGGAGTACGCCATTTTGTTACGGAAAACACACCCAAAGCCAACTTTTCCGAGCGCCTTATAAAGACATTGAAGACGAAAATAATGAGGTTCATGACATATAAACAGAACTATAGATATATAGACGATTTGCAAAATTTTGTTAAAAGTTATAATGCCACCTGGCATAGGAGCATAAAGATGGCTCCTAAAAATGTATCTAAAGACGATGAACTGGCTATTTGGTGGCGGATGTACTATCCAAAATCAGCTGCTGTTAAAACTAGGTCAAAATATATATTTAAATTTCCCATTGGAGCTTTGGTTAGAATTACCCAATCGAAACATATTTTTACAAGAGAATACAACGAGCATTGGACTGGTGAAATTTTTGAAGTAGCGCAACGTTTCATCAGACAGGGCCTTCCATTGTATCGTTTAAAAGATTTTCAAAATGAAGACATTAAGGGTACTTTTTACCAAGCAGAGCTCCAGAGGGTACAAGCAAATGAAGATGATATTTGGAAGGTGGAAAAGATCCTAAAAACCCGAACAAGAAAGGGTCAAAAGGAACATTTAGTGCGTTGGCAATATTGGCCTAAAAAGTTTGACTCGTGGGTCAAGGACTCTGATATAACATTATTGTAAATATTGTATAAAAATGTAATTATGATGTATATTATGCTGTATTATATGTAAATAAATTGTATGTGTGTTGAAATAATTATTGTTATGTTCATATGTGAAAGTAGAGAGAGGTCAAGTTGTTATATATAATCACCCCCCCCCCCCATTTTTCATTGAGACTATAGTAAACCTAACACACGTACAAAACTCATAGAAATTTGGTCAAAGGCGAGCCTCCATAAATTACCCAATTTTAACTAAAGATTCCTGAATATAGACGCATCAAGAGCTATTAAGTGATTTTGCATAATGTATTCATGATTCGAGTGAGACCAATGTCATCGTAATCCTTACTCATATGACATAAGGTTATCAATATGGCTAATCTTACGTTTCCTGCTATGGTGTCACCCACTTGCCTAGACAAAGTTAAAATGACTGAGCTTCCTCTATGATATCATTTACCTGTTCAGACCGACTCAAAGATGCCTCACTTCCGCTATGATGTCACCCTCTTGCCCGGATAGATTCAAAATGGCTGACTTCCTGCCAGGAGATTCAAAATGGCTGACTTCCGGTTAAAATGGCTGACTTCCGGTCAAAATGGCTGACTTCCTGTCAAAATGGCTAACTTCCGGTTTTAGATGACCAGCCTAGTGACCAGCCTGGCCTCATGGGACCAATTTTCCTACTACTCTTGAAATATATTTATTCTGACGGTTTTTAACAATTAACTTAAATCTGTGTTGTTTAATTTTTAACCTGCCTTATGCTCCTGAATATGGAATATTTTTAGCTGTCCTATCCACACCAGTCTATTATCCAAGCTCTTTATAGCAAGGGTACCATTGATTGAATTCATCAAAAGCTTTTAACTCAATGAATTGCGTATATCAATGTATAAACTCTTTTTAAAAACCTTTGTTACAAATTCAATAACTCTGGATCAGATTTTAAAGTGGAACACGTTTTATGAAAGAGTCACATTCATATAATTCATACAAGGTATAAAAAAGTAAAAATATTTGTTGAACTGTGTGTGAAAATAGCTGATTTCTCAAGCTACATGTAGGTCCCTAGCTAGGTTGACTAAGGTTGAACATGAACATGATTGCCACAATTTACCTTATTGGCAATCAGTCAATGCCCAATAGGCAACCTGAGTTAACAATTGCATTGCTACAACTGACGTCATTGCGTTAGAATGTGGCAAATGTTTCTGGACTCTGTCGCTAAAGTATTAAATTCTCAGACAAGTATCTTGTCGTCAGACTATTGTAATGTAGATTAGTCGGTAAGACAAGGCATTTCTGATCGGTAACTTTCAATGTCTGAATGACTTCGAATTCATTCTCAAAATCACCCCTAGACGTTGTGATTTATGTTATAGGCTAACCATAGTTTTTGTTACCCATGGCAGTCGGCGTCAGTTTTAAATTGTTAAACTTCCGTAACCATATGCAATAATGAACTTACACGTTGTATCATGTTTATAATATATTGTTAAACAAATAGAATTAAGGCCATTCTTCGTGGACTATAAAATGAAGCTTGAATCACAGGATATTGTCACTCAGATCTGAGACTAACAGCTCAGATATAGCTATTTTGTATTGTTTATTTAAATTTCCCATTATGAGCGTGTGTATATGATACATTAATTTAAAGTGTCAATCAGGGTCAAGCTATTGAGATTACAAAATCTGTGTGGGTCCAACACAACTTACAGGGTCAACCAACTGAGCTCAACTGACAAGGCCATCAATATACTTATCTGCTAAATAGTTTTAAACTTTGAAAAACCAGTCTCCATGAACAAAAAATGTGACATTGACCTCTAAAATACCCGACGTACCTGTACATCAAGGCTAATCGATACAGGCTTTATTTGAATTTTGTTATTTACGTTTGTGCTCTATATTTATAAGGCGTCTTGCATACACCAAGGCTAATAAATAACTACATGTTTTTTGAACTTTGCTACGTGTTTATTGTATTTATAACACGTCTTTATTAGATAACAACGCACTTTATATCGGTTAAGCTGGAACCTAGAAATGCTGTTCGAACTTTTTGCATTATCTGCGTCTATTTTACTCGTTATATACGCCTTTAATAGATACAGCCGTAAGAAATGTACAGCTCCTGGACCACCACGGGGGCTTCCCGTTCTTGGAAACATCATCCAGGTGTTTGACAAACAGGTGTTCTTAAAAATATGCGATTGGCAAAAAGAGTTGGGAGATGTCTACAAATTGAATTTGTTTACCGAAGAAGTTGTTGTGGTAAATGGAGATGCCATTTATGATGTCTTAGTTACGAGCGGGGATGATTATGGTGGGCGAGTCCAGGGAGCACGAACTAGAATCTACTCCAATGGCTTTAAAACTATAACTTTTAGGTAAGAATATTATCCTAAAAGGAGTATCCAAAAGTTTAAGCCATATGTCATCACGTAACTGCTCAATAACGCAAATGCGAGTCGGTAGTTACCAGTTTCACCACCAGGTGGTTCGCTCGGGTCAGATAGCATGGCGGGTATAGTAGAAAGTTCCCTTTAACTTAAATTGCATCTGTTTTAGTGGTTCAATTCTCATATAGCCCTTATGTATCGAATAGTTATGGAAATTAAAGTATGTCCAGTAAAAGAAAATGGTATATGTCCAATACAAGAAGAGATATTTACTTTTTGTGATTTTGTAATATGGGGTCAGAGGGGAATCAACCCGAACTAGAAGTCACATTTCAAATTCAGACTCACCTTTTCTTTGTCAAGGGTACTTTAACTTTTGTGATAATGGTTTCTGAATGAGGGGATTCCATACATTGTTTCTTTAAATAGTGTTGGATTTTCGATGTATTTTCCACGTAACTGATAAAAATTGTATTCTCTGGTGTTCCATTTTTGCTCTGTTTAAGTTCATTCCATTTTGCACTTTTACATACATACATATCATTATTCTAAAACATTGTAGTTAAACATTTGATATTGCTCTTTAATTATGCTAGGAATCCTGATAAAGAATGGAAAACCATGCGGAGGATTGCTCAGAAAGGTTTGAAGCAATACGGAGAAGGCATTGCCAACATAGAACGTATCAGTATGGAAGAGATTCGCGAATGCCTCGATAAGTTTGACAAAACAGAGGCGTTTGATCCGTATGACGCCATCGAAGATATGGTTATCGGAATCATCATAATAGTTGTAAGTGTTAATTGTTCGATCGTTTGTTCTGCTATATTTTGTCATTCCCTTATTCCCTTTTCATGTCCTCGAAGTTTGCGTTGCTGTTTCTTATATACATGTAGTATATTTGAATTTTTTAGAATTTGAAGATTTCTTTAACTGTGATTTGACTTGATATCTCCGGTCAAGTTCAATTTAGATTGCCTTTACTAATTACTTTAACTGGTCAGCTTAAATGATTGCTTGTTTACTATGTCAAATAATTTTCTAGTTTTGAGGCTGATTATCTATTTAATTGGATTGTTTACCAAATAAAATATAATGATCAACATTGTGACCTTAATGCCTTGGTCACATTTGCTCAGATTTTCACTACGGTCTGTTCAAAATTGAATACAATACTGAACAAAACACTCAATCGGCCGGGCGCCGATCGATGAAAAGCAGCAAATGTGACCCAGGCATACAGGGGCAACAAAGACTGTAGAGAGAAACTTCGAATTTTTTTAATTTTTTCTGAGTTATCAGGTCAATATTTGGCTTAACACCTTCTTTGACATACCTATTTTTAAAATGTATGTATTAACTATCAATTTCAGCATTAGTGTAAATTCAGCTCAAAGCTTCTATAAATAAAAGGGAGTCCCACTAAAGTCCCATAGATCTTTAAGATCCACCACGTTTCAAGAGGAATATCCGCTGAAATAATGTTCATCCAGGGGGTTTCTTTGTTATAATGAAAATATATGTTAGTCTTGATGAAATATCCAAATTTAAATATATTTTGACACTGGTAGATGATTGTTGAATGGCCCCCCTGCACTAATTGTTGCATCTTTAACTAAGGACCAAAATGTTTCAAAAACCGAATATGAGCCCCAACCAAAAACAGATCTCACAACTATCACAACTGTAACAAAGACTGTTTTTATTGAATGTTGTATTTTGAGTCAAAAACTACCAATTTCCCGTGAAACATTTGTTAAGCATATGGAAAATATGCCAGGTAACATTTCATAAACAAATGATTTTTCTGTGAATTGTTAATGTTTCGCTACGATTCTGTGCTAGTCTAAATTTTTTGTTTTACAATTGCAGTCAATGGGCGTGAAACTGGGCGTCGATGATCCGTTACACCAAAAGATCAAACTTGCTGAAAAACTGACTCCATTTGCGTTTGCAGTTGATACGTCATACCTCGATTTGGTTCCTTGGCTAAGAAATATTCCCATTGAGGCTACTAGAGTTTTCAATGATGCAATCGACGCCGTGCGACAAATGGAATCGGAGATATTTCAGAGATCAATGGTATGTTCACTTCAATTTTCCCGAAATACTCGGACAACCTTGGTAAAGCTATCCTCCGATTTAAAGGCAAAATCAGATCTATAGGGGGTGGAATAATTGCAAACCACCTAAATAATTGACCTACCAATCAAGTCCTTACAATTTTGAATACAGTATCTCCAAAAAGATTCGCGATATGTTATAAATTGGTGAATTTGTTCATCAAAATGGGGGAGTAAAGTTTAAATCCTCCTAAATAATAATGGTAACAATAATTATAGAAAAATAATACAGTAAATATCTAAGCGCAAGTACCAAATGGAAAGGACCAAAAACTGTAAGGAACCCTAGCAAGAAATATAGGTTCTTGTATGAGCACCCGTGCACCTTTCCATTCTCGATGAGCTTTGATAATTGTTCAAAAGTGGACGATATTGCACAGTTACGAGTCCAAGAAATGTTTTCTCATATGACTAACTTTAATGCCATCTTGTCACCTTTTTATAAAAAATAGCTTCAAATTAATGAAACTTCTTCATCTCTCAATTGTTATGACGTCGTAACAATATTGTAGAAAATACATGGAAACGGTTGGCAACAAAGCTCCGTTGTAATGACGTCACAGTTTATTTTGTAGAATGAGCATGGGTACCCATAGCAACGGTATATATTTTGCCATAATGTTGATGTTTGTAAACCAGTGATGTCAAAAGTAAATCTCATCTTGCACGTGTGACTTTTTAGAATGAAAGATGGCAATATCTTGCACGGAATAAAGATGACCTTATCTTCGTCATGTGAGAAAACAAACTCTAAGTGTAAACCTGTCATTAAAAATAGACCAAGTATATCCAAAACCATGATCAAATACATTTGTAAATTAGACACTAGATATAGTACTCATAGAAGGGAAGAAGGAGATACGGATTCTGGACACCTGCTATAGTAGAAGTTTTTTGTTAAGCTTGTTTGCTATATCTGATTCTCCCTTTAATATTTCTGCGTGACAATTTCTCACAGAAAGTTATTTTGTTTCCCTCAAAATATCCGACGGGTGATGATTGTCAACAAGGGGGATACTATGTGACTGTCTCATGATTCGATAAAATAAATATCCATATTTCTATCAAACACTATAGAATATAAACTTGAATAAATATTTTATTATAGTCTAACTTGGAGAGGTCGAATATTGCTGGTGTGTTTGATGCCATTAATTCGAATAGTGAACATTTGGACGAATCCTTCATTAAAGGCGTGACTAACGATATTACACTTGCCGGAACAGTAACAACAACAACACAAATCAGTTCAATGGTTGCATTAACAGTGGACTATCCGAAAGTACAACAGAAGTTACAAGATGAAATAGAAAGAGTGATAGGTCAAAGGTATATAAACCCATGTAACTCGTGTAATTCGTAATAGGCCTGTTCAATCTTTATGCGCATAGATTTATCTAATTGTTAGTCATCTATCATTATCAAAAACCAGTCAATCTAGTCACATGAGTCATTAAATGAAATGTGACGGTACTTCATTTAATCAATGCAGATACATCCCAAAATTAGGCAACGGGAGATCAGGGGGGTGTTAAAGCGACTTAAGATTTGAATCATTAACACTTGTCCGAAATTAGACGTTTGATTGGTAAACTTAGAGGGCTTGCACTGGCTTATGTCTTCAGTAATGAATAAACGATGAGTACTTGGTATGAGGTAAAATAATGGCCAAGGACAGAAGGAGCGAGGCAATTATTTCCTCCGTCCAAATGGTTTATCTAATTTAAGCCCCACATTGACTCTTATGAAAGGTAAATGGTTCATGATCCAATTTAGGTCACACATTACTATTGGTCATGAAAGTTTGATTTCTTTTGTATTAATTATTCAACTAGAGGTAAGTGAGTTCATGAGTTATTAGGTGTAATTAGTTCTGCTTCAATTCACTGCATGTCGACATTTGAACAGGGAATATTATATGAAAAATTATAAGTAGGGTAAGCACAATACTGCAGGAAGGGATACAAAATAATAAACTATTTCATTTTAAAAAATAGTTCATATCCATTTGTATATTGATTTTAAATGAAGAAAACTATCAAAAATTGTCAATTGTCTTTTGTGCCAAACTGTTTTTTATAGCTTGCCAAGTGTCCATTCTTTAAAAACAATAGAAAAATTATGTACTCTTATAATGCATCCTCCTTAGCAGGCTTCCAGAATCGTAGAAAGGAAGACTAGATTCTGGATTTTAAAACCCTGCGTACGGAGGATGCTTATAATGTAACAACTGGACATTCTTTAAAATAAAGCACAGCACAGGTATGATGCTATCTCAGTGCAATTTAATAGGTTTAGTTTATTTATTTATTTATTTATAGTGGTCAGTCTTTACAATTCAATTATAAAATATAACAAAAATAATTACAATTTTACCCAGCCCACCTTGGGCTTATTAACCACTGTTAAAAATAGGAAATACAAAATTAACACACGATAATCAATATCACAGGTTGTAAATGAATTGCCTTCTCCGCACAAAAGCCATCTTAATAAATTTAACAATTTTACAGGTATGTTCCCTAAAAAGAAATTCAATTTTGCTACCTTCATTATCCAAATCTCTAAAATTCACCATATCAAAGTATGTTTTTCTCAGATTATCATATATATTGCAATGAAATAATAAATGTATTTCTGTTTCATCTGAGTTATCGTTACATAGTGTACATAATATTTCTTCCTCATGTTATACACTAACATATATGACCTTTAGATTACCAACGTATGAGGATCGGCGCTCAATGCCATACATGGAAGCGTTCATATTGGAGTCAATGCGTTATATGTCGGAGGCGGCACTATCTGTACCACACGCAACGTTGAAGGACGTAACACTGAGGGGGTACTTCATACCCAAAGGCACCCAGGTAAGATGACAATCGTGAGAAAGAATCTTTGCTCTTTTCTACATACGTTTTTTTTAAATTAGGGAACGTTTTTGTAAGTTCAGTTTCAAATTTTTAATTATGTTTTGATTACTTGAGATACCGCTTGATTTGACAATACTGATAATGTTATCATGTAGACTTCTAGAATTCACATTAGGTAAATGCTGAAAACAAAACACAATTATGAAAAATAATTACCACTTTTAACATGTTCAAGTTATGTAATATTGCATTTTAATTCGATTTTTAGATTTGGCCAAACCTATATGGACTTCATCACGATGAGCGATTCTTTCCAGATCCCTACACGTTTAAACCCGAGAGATTCCTGGACTCAAAAGGAGAGTTGATACCAGCTGATGAGAGAAAATAGTGAGTGATGTGTTAATCTTTAATTTGTCTGAGTGTCCATTTGTTATTTTACTTATTCTAAGGAACAAATACACCTACCAACGTTCTCAAAAGTATGCCTATCCAACCGTCTTAATGTCAGAGAGAGTAGTGAAAGAAGGTAGAATCTGCTATTCGTGTGGCCCTTCTTCCATCTTGAAACCCTAGCACTCATTGCATAAATCTCCAAATTCACTCTAGATTCCATAAACAGTATTGACATTATAAGTAAGTTGTCCCAAACAACAAGAAAACTGTTGATGTTGTATCAATATCGATATTCCTGGACCTATGAATTTGTACTTTGCAGTTTGATGCCATTTGGGGCTGGCAAAAGAGTATGTATTGGAGAACAGCTGGCCAGGATTCGAATGTTTCTTTTCATGACAACCTTGCTTCAGCGCTACACACTGTGCCCTGAGCGGGAAGGATGCCCTCCTAATTACGACTCGCGCAAGTCAGTACTTGGAATAGTAATGCAGATGCATCCCTACAAGATTAAGACGATCAAGAGATGATGCGCGTACAGATAATAAAATGCAATGAAACCTTAGGTGTTCACTAGATTTTTAGAGAAAAATAAAAATTTTGAGAAGAAAAATATATCAATCAAATATGAAGAATTCTACAAATAACATAATATAAGTATATCTAAAACTAGATTTCAAGTAGGTTATTCGAGTGTATTATATCCAAGAATTGGAGAACGAAATTCATCAGTCTAGATCTACTGCACGTTACGTTTCTATATTTTTACATGTTTTCCATAAACAAAGTGATTGATTTCTCAATATACACCATGTATAGCATTAACTAATGTATAACATTTATTATAGAGTTTAAAATAAACAATATCATAACAATTTATGTAACCAGGCATTTTGCAGGCTGTGAAAGTGCCTAACCAAAGCTTACTTGAACTATATCTATTCAAGCGTTTTTAATCACAGTATAGCTTAATGGCTTGTCTAAACTTTAACCTGGCTTAGGCTTTTAAATACGGAATGTTTAACTGTCTCATCCACACCAGTCTGTTATCTACCTACCAGTAGATTTAAAATTGAGATTGTGCATACTCAATGTTTACTTCTATATACTCTTACTCAATTGTACACACCCACAAGGGTGGCATGTAAAACCTTGTAAATAATATTGTATAAAAGAAAATATATAAAGTTGAATTGAATTGAACTCTTTTAGAAATTCAATAAATCTGAATCGGATTTTTAACAAACCCAAGACATGTTGATTGATGACTAAGGTTGAACGTGTACGTAATCATCAACTTCAGTTAGAGTAATTCTAAGTGAAGCCATTTTCTTTAAAATTCTCCAATATCGCGGTTGTTTGAGCATTTATCTGTGGTTATTTACCATCGTAGCTTTGTTAATTTGCATGGCGAAACATTTGGAATCCAGATTCAACTTAGTTTAGCTAATATGGGAGGTTGCTGATTGAAAACGAGAGAATTTCGGCAACCATCTTGAATGAAGCTTAATGCAGTTAGAGTCATCCAGCTGTGGAACAGTGAATCAGTCCATTGCCAAATATGCAACGTGTTTTTTAAGTCATGGCATTAGAACGTGGCAACTGTTATTGGACCCTTTTGCTAAGGAATGAAATTCTTAGACTGCAGACAAGAACCTTCTGATCGCTAGCCTTGTAAAATGAAGATTTATTTAACCATTTATATGAACTATATGCAATTATAATACATGACAAATACTGCCACCAAATGGCACGCCGAGCATAAAAAGAGTACATATCTTCATAACTTATTTACAAGGGCATGTCTCATAATTAAATAAATATAGAGTAAGTCGATATGACTTTTTTTAGTTATACAAGGCCCTTCTCAATGTTTATTTTCAACATCTGAATTTTGAATAAGTGGCATGTCTCTGAAGAAGTGCTTGACTTGATTTTCATTCCATTAGAATTATGTTATCATGTCGTCTTGTGATGTTTGCGATATATTTTTTAACAAATGGAATTGAGTGCATTCGATTTTTACTGTAACATGGAGCTTGCGATAATAATGGAATTTCTCTTTCCATGGGAGAGTGGACCTCGTGATAGTGTCACTCGGATAAAGATTGTATCATACTATTTACATCTACCTCTTTAAGAATCATATACCAAATGAAAACGCCTACAGAAGAGGCACCTCCTCGTGCTCAAATCAACTCCATTATCCAGGGTTAATATTTCGAGGGTGGCGTTGACCTCTAAATTAGCTGACAGGCACATGGACTAATCGATCATGTTTTATTTAAACTCTTTTTATAACATGTTTTTATCAAAGAACAACGCCGTTGACATCATATTGATCACATTGGTGAAGCTGAAATCTAGCTAGACATGCTATTCGAAATTCTTGCATTATGTGTGTCTATTTTTCTCTTTATATACGCTTTCAATAGATACAGTCGTAAGAAATGTACAGCTCCTGGGCCACCACGAGGGGTCCCCGTTCTTGGAAATCTCGTCCAGATGTTTGATAAACAAGCGTTCTTAAAACTCTGCGATTGGCAAAAGGAATTAGGAGATGTATACAAATTGAATCTGTTTACCGAAGAAGTTGTTGTGGTGAATGGAGATGCTGTTTATGAAGTCTTGGTTACGTGTGGGGATGATTATGGTGGGCGAGTCCAGGCAGCACGCACTAAAATTTACTCCAACGGCTTTAGAAATATTGGTTATAGGTGAGAAGCACACTACCCTGTGGATAAAAGTATTCAAAAAATTTAACCATATAGCCATTACGAAACTGCTCGATGATGACGCATTTTTCATTTTATTCTACAACATGTATTTGAGTGTCGTACTCTTGGGGGTCGTGTGACTATGATAGTTTTGACGTGACGTGTGTCAAGCTACTCTGGCGCCAAATGTAAAAGTTGTTCCTACGAAGGCTGATCCAAAGTAGAAATATGTGTTACATTTGCAGGCCAGGGTTTTATTTTAATTTACAATCGTATTTTGCGGCAAATTGTTGCCATCACAGCCGTCATTTCAAAGTCGGGTCACGTTGCGTTAAAGTTCTGACTAGTGCTGACTTAATATCCTCGATATCATGACAAAATTAATTATGGAAATGTTAGTGGTTCACCAACGTATAGTGTCAGGCCTCCTAGACTTCCAACAACGCGGACATTATTTCTGACCTCGCGAACTACTATACGTTCTTTTGCACTCGAACCACGCTTCTCACATCGCCAACGTGAAATCTTATGTCGCGCACCACCATTTCCTCGCTCCTGAACATATTTCTCCGCTCGCGAACAGAGATCCGTGCTTCAGAATATTTGGAATTTGTTTCCCTAATGACTGTTTCCTAACGGACTGTTGCAGGTGTTCGATTTTTGCTTTGCTCTGTTGTGCAACACTTTGAAGGCCTCGCCTTTTTGTACTTTCCATACAAATACATGTATCAATCATTGTTGTGAACATTTAGATTGCTCATTGATTATGCTAGGCACCCTGATAAAGAATGGAAGACCATGCGGAAGATTGCACAGAAAGGTTTGAAGCAGTACGGAGAAGGCGTGGCCAACATTGAGCGTATCAGTATGGAAGAGATTCGTGAATGCCTCGATAAGTTTGACAAAACAGAGGCGTTTGATCCGTCTGACGTTATCAACGATATGGTCATTGCAATCATCATAACAGTTGTGAGTGTTTTGGAATGAATGAATTGTCAAAATAATTCCAACATTTTGCAAAAAATCGAATTGTTTGGTCAATATTCATAGTATATAGACATTTCCATTATCCCGAGGGACGTTTTTCGAGAGACATTAGAGAGTTTAAACTTGTATATAAAATCGAAAGGGCAACCCGTACGTATCAATCACTCATATATAAATGCATGCTGTTTTCTCACTTATGTATACCATACTTAGGTAGCAACACACTGGCATGAGCTGTTGTTTATTTAAAATAATGAACAGGTTCAAAAAGATAGTACATATTTTTTCTATTGTTTTTAAAGAATGGCTACTGGGCAAGCTATAAAAACATGTGACAGAAATAAAAATTGACAGTTTTTGATAGTTTCCATCCCCTAAAAACAATATAAAAATATACATGTTCCTCTCTCTTGTTATTGCGCATTCTTTAGAATAAAACAATTTATCATTTAATGTTTATATCAAGACTATCACCTGCACTGAAGCTAAACTAACTATAGCCCACCCACTCACTCATTTGACTTTCATGTATCAACTCACAATAGTTCCAGTTGAATGTGTCTGTGTAAACTACAACCAGGCTCCTGATTGCAGTTTACTAACTTTGAATGGTCAAAACAAAAAAATCCAGATTGGATCTTGGACCATTTAACTTTTATAAGAGTTGTGGGATTTAAGTAAGATAAACAATTCGTATTGGGGTTCAGAATAAATAATAGCCTTGATAGTTTATCATCGGCTTCAGTATTTGTTCAGACTACTCCGCAGTATGTAATAATGCCAATACAATTCTATACATATTGTAAAGAAGCTCGTTTCGTAATATATTTGGATCTAAAACCTAAAACCACTATTACTATAATAGTTCCTTGGGAAAATCGTCTCAACCACAAGGGAGCAACACCTCTGTGCAACGGTTTTGAACAAAATAAATGACAGGTGGATTTGCTGAAGTGAGAATTTCCCATGTTAAAAATAAGAGAATTCTCAAGAGGCCATACATCAGTGGATGACATTTATGCAAAATGTAAAATATACAAATTTTAGGTGATATGTATCTAGACAATATTCGAAACTATGGGCCTTCAGACGACCATGGTTAGGAAATGCTCATAGAAAATCAACCAGTCATTTATTTTGTTCCAAACTGTAGTTTTACGACTCTTGTTTTGTAGTCAATGGGTGTGAAACTGGGCACCCATGATCCGTTACATCAAAAGATCAAACGTGCTGAAAAACTGTTCCCTCTTGCGTTTGGAGTTGATACGTCGTACCTCGATGTGGTTCCTTGGCTAAGAAATCTTCCCAACGAAGCTGCTAAAGTTTTTAATGATGCAATCGACGCAGCGCGACAAATGGAATCAGAAATTTTTCAGAGATCAATGGTATGTACTATTCAAATTTTCAGAATAACCCAGAAACCATGGAAGGCATACAATAAATGATTCAACTTGTAGCTGTCAATAATGTTTCCTCATTCCTTTTAAATACCATTTGTTGAGAAACCTTCCGGTTTTCAGATCATCACAAGGGTTAAAAACGTAAACAATTTTGTTCTACTTTTGCTTTTTATCAGACACAGACTGTGAAACTAAGCATGTGTAGGTGATCCCTTTAAGCCATTTATCCCAAGAATATTTTGAAAAAAATGCAAAATGTCAATGCATTAATTACAAAATTTTCTGTATTTTTGAGAAAAATAACCTAAACATCTTAGCTGAGAAACCTAAAACATACGAGGGGTGATTCAAAAGTAATGGACAAAATTTTATGAAAATTTTTTGAAATTGTTTCAGCTATGCATAACCATGGTAACATGGGTAAGCATGTGTGGAATGGTTTTTTAATGATAATTGAATGTTTTTGTCATTTTTGCTTGATTTCGTTTTAATGACTCAATTACCACACATGATATGTCTAACAAGCATGGTAATGCAATTGTCAAGCAAGACTCACATGCCCATGGTCTACATGACCTGTAATAAATAGGTATAAGGGACGTTATTATCACAAGATTAATGACATTGCTCAATTTTTAAAGTTACTTTCCATGCGTTATACAAAAAATAATCGAAATAAATTGATATTGTCTTGGCCCTTCCAGATCGCTTTAGATCTAAGACTCTCGTATCCCCTTCACTAAAGTGTTTGTACCATCGCTCAATGGCTTGCCTTGACAAGGCCTTGTCTCCATGTGTCTCTTTTATTTTCTTGACAACTGCCTGCCTTGTCTCTCCAGTAGCTACCAAATATTCAATAACAATCCTTTGCTTAACTTTGATTTGTTGTAAAGTAGACATTTCTTGGATGTGTGTGAGTCTAAGAGTCTGATCTACTTTCTGCTCACTGTGACTCATCATTCTTAGAAATATCATTGTGATGTCATAGCACAATTGGTTGCTGAATTTAGAACTCAACAGCAAACACATGGGCATGTGAGTCTTGCTTGACAATTGCATTACCATGCTTGTTAGACATATCATGTGTGGTAATTGAGTCATTAAAACGAAATCAAGCAACAATGACAAAAACCTCTCCTCTTCTTACTTAGAAAATCGAAAAGTCTGTGTCACTGTAGATGATCACACATCAAACTTTTCTCCTGACCACTTCATAAACTCTGGTGTGCCTCAGGGCTCCATAATCAGACCCCTGATGTTTCTGATATACATAAATGACCTCCCTGACACTCTGACCTCGAAAACTTTTATTTATGCAGATGATACCTCCTTATACTCTTTCTTTCACCCTTCTGGTAATCAAACTGGCCAACTCCAAAATGACCTAAATCTTTTAAGTGGTTGGTCTAGAACCTGGCAATTGAAATTTAAAGCATCTAAAAGTGCTCATTTAGTTTTTCGCTCAACCCGACAAAAAATATTCAAATGTCTCCGCTTTACTTTGATGGTGAAATGATCCCCCAAAAGCAATCACACAAGCACCTGGGTTTCATCTTAGATGAGAATTTGACTTTTAATGACCATATAAACTATCTGTCTAATAAAGTTCAAAAACTGTTAAATCCTTTGAAGCTCATATCAAACAAAATACAGTCGCACCATCTTGAAATAATGTATAATTCATATTTGGCGTCTCATTTTGACTATTGTAGCTCCATTGACGGATCGTCATCCTTGGCGGCCTTGTCAAAGCTTGATAGAATCCACTACCAAGCTGCTGTTATATGTGCTGGGGTACTGCATGGCTCTTACACCTCAAAAACTTTAAAATGTTTACAGTGGAAATCGCTTACTGACAAAAGACACGAAAAAAATCTAAGACTGATGTTCAAAATTGTAAGAAAGGAAGTGCCGTATTATGTCCATAGTCTTTTTGACCAACATCGCAACCAAGCAACTAGAATTTTAAGACACTCTTAACCCTTTTCCTGCCCAAGAAATATTTCAATGAGACTCTCCAAAGCACCAGTTTTAAAACTTATAAATGATTGGAACCAGCTAAGCCAGACTTTTTGTGAAATTCAAACCATTTCTAGATTCAAAAGCTCTATTAAACAGATATTTATCCCTATTTCAAACTTCATACCAACTACAAAACTAAATTTAAGTAGAACCAACGAAAAACTGCTAAATAGGCTTCGAGTTGATTTTGCCCTTAAATACCATTTCTTTACTCATAATTTCACTGGAATAATTGACAACAAATGCCTCTGTGGCTCTACTGAAGACACAAAGCATTTCATTCTAACCTGACCTCGCCATACCCATGACCGTAATAAAATGATGACTGCACTTCGTGAAAAAAATTTATTGTTTGATACTCAACTTATTTCTAGTAAGACAGAACAGGTCAAATACTTAATTTATGAAAATGAACTCACTATCACACCCGGTGATCGTGAAAATGGGACGGAGGGGGGAGCAGGCAATTTCCGCTAGAAAATTCAACAAATCTGGTAAAATTATTTTTTCAAGACAGAGTTTACGATTGAATTGCAAATTAGATAAGCGCACGGTATGATAAAATATGTTAGGTATTCTAGGATTATTTTTCAACCGATACTCTTTAAAGATATAAGATCTATTAAAAAAGGCGCAACGCAACAAACGTGCAAAAGTCAAAGTTTTTGCTATAAATCAAGCAACAATGGACTACAAGACCTGTAATAAATACTTGTAAGTGATGTTATCATAACTAAATTAATGTCATTGCTGAATTTATAAAATAAGTTTCCATACGTAAAATAAAAAATAATCGAAAATAATTAAAATGGGACGGAGGGGGGGAGGGGACGGAGGGGGGGAGTAATAATTCTATAAAGTGAAACAACTTCACACGAATTCTTGTATTTGAAAAATGAACTCATTAACTTAGTAAGAAACTGGATGATATAACCCTAGAGACTGAAAAATGGGGACATTTGGAGTAAAAAGACTTAAAGTCGCGAAACATCTCTAATCATGTCTTATATACATATTGCTCCCCCCCCCCCCTCCGTCCCCTCCCCCCCCCCCCTCCGTCCCAAATTCATTATTTTCGATTATTTTTTATTTCACATATGGAAACTTATTTTATTAAATTCAGCAATGACATTAATTTAGTTATGATAACATCACTTACAAGTATTTATTACAGGTCGTCCAGACCATTGTTCCTTGATTTATAGCAAAAACGTTGATTTGTGCCTGTTGATGGCCTTGCGCCTTTTTTAATAGATCTCATACCTTAGATGCGTATCGTTTCAGAAAAAATCCCAGAAAACCTAACATATTCTACCATACCGTGTGCCTATCCATTTAGCAATTCAATAGTAAACTTTTTCTTGCAAAAATAAATCTTCCAGATTTGTTGAATTTCCTAGCAGATATTGCCTGCTCCCCCCCCCCTCCGTCCCATATTCACGATCACCGGGTGTGACTATTGATTCTCAGAAAATCCTGATAGATATAGTGATGCAATTTGTACAGGCCTGTTATAAGTTTCCATCAAATTAATGTTATTCTCATTTGTATCTTGTGACAACCCCCCCCCCTCCCTCCCAACCTCTCACATTACCAATAAACCATCTATGATTACTGTAATTAATCCTTTATTGTAATTTAAACTACCTAGAATGCCTATGGCGATTGGTAGTGGATATTTTGTGTATTTTTTTTATTATGAAGGAAATAAATAATATGTTTAAAAAAATCGTTAAAAAAACAATTCCACCCATGCTTACCCTTGCTACCATGGTTACGCATAGCTGAAACAATTTCAAATGCATTTAAATGAGAATTCGACAAAAAGTAGAGAATTGATTGATCTATTCACTGTGAAAAAAATTAGACTGATTGGGTGAAATTTAGTATGCCTATAAAATTTGGTCTATTACTTTTGAATCACCCCTCGTATATCTAAAATCAATTCCATATAATTGTTTAGCATTGTGTACTCCAAATTGTGAAAAATAGGATTTAGTTTTTTAGTAATTATTTGACCCCTGCTAATGACAGGCATCATTCAGCCTAAAAACCAAAAGTAAATAAACATGGGATATATGTAGGTATGTAAATAGGGAGGTTATGATACATTTTTTGATAGAACTTGTACATGAATGTACAATATTATGAACTCCGCAAGTTTTTATTTTAATCTTCGATAAACTATTCAACATGCAATAATCATGCATTTATCTAACAATGTAACCAAAGTAAATGTCCAAATCTGTCTACTCCCAGTCTCGAATCAAGACAAATCAACTATCTTCTAAAAAATAGTCCAGGTTTTAAATCTAAATGATTATATTCGGGAAATCAATTCACCTGCCAAATCAGACTATTTAAGTATTATTCAAAATCTTCTAATCGCTTTAGAAAAGTATCGATCGATTTTCAAACAAATCGAAAACAAGCAAATACAAGTATTATTGTAAAGTATGCGTACCAAGCATATGTCTGAATCCGACTACCCATGTATCGATTTACAACATACCATCAAAGATAACCACCCTATTCATCAATGTTATAATAAACAGAGATACTAAACCAAACTGTTGGTATAAACACCTTATTAGTAAACTTAAAATGCTGATATTATACAATGCACTTTTATAGACCAGCATTTCACTTCTATTTCACATAACCAGTATTCAAAGATATCGCGTCCGATATTTTAGCAAAAAAGCTATTTATGAACATGCAAATTAAAAATATTCTAGTAACCTTTTTGCATCTATCAACATTAACTGTTTGAGCCTGAATACGACTAGTCTTAGAACTCATTTGATCAAGCAGTTTATTTAACTGAATCAGTCAAATAAAATATTCTCCATAATTAAGCAACTTATCTTTGAAGAAGAAAAGTTCTGAATATAGAAAATTATACAGTATGCAATTTATTCTTGTACGGATATTCGGTATCTTAAACATATGCCTGAACCCTACCCTCCTGGCAACGATTCACGACATTTCCCAACCAAAAAGACTGTTATGATTACTCTCAGAGCCCTTTAATGGCATTTTGATCATTTCTAAATATGAATGAATGTTTTGAGTAGCAAACGAAGATGTTTGCGATAACATGTAGCTCACAAAAATTCATTATGAATCTGTCGAATCCAAGTATCCTCTTGATAATAAAAGATATGAAAATACAAGTGTACAATTTCACTTGCAGGATATGAAGTATCCAAGGTGTTTGTCTGAATCCAACCTTCCCAGTAACGATTCACGACAATTAATGTCTGTTCTAAATACAAATACGCGTTATTAGTTAATAACTTAAATGGTATACCAATATGGCTCACCAATCGACGACATTTAACAATTCAATGACTCTTCAGTAACACAACTCGTTAGTTGTTTGTCATGACTTACAACATTAAAATGCTTACGTTGCACAACTTTATACAAAAACTATAATTGTAATATCTATCTCTGTATATGCGCAACACAGAGTTCATTTGGAAAACGTTTGCTATAAAATATCATTTTAAAAATCTTTGCCCAACGCTGTTTTTTGCAAAACTGAGGGAGCATATTTGCACCTTGCTAATACCATGTCTGAAACAACTTAACAATCCTAAAACCGTAACTCCGGTTTAAAAACTGCCACATCTAAATAGGATGTTTGATTGTATGGATCCCATCTCCCTAAAAACACCTAAAATGCAGTTTATACAAATCATCGGAAAACGTACCAGTTTGCGTCGTTACCTAAATATCTGAAAGATTTCAAAAACATGAACATTTTGACAGTCAAGTAACAAATATCCAACGTATGTAGCAGTGTGGCGTGTTGCGCGTGACTGAACAATAGATCTTGCAATCTTTAGTGCTCCTGCACCTATGACCAATCTAAATATGTTTAGCAAAACCCAGTATCCTTACATTAAAAAAGGATATTTGATATACTAAGCAAATCTGTTAACAACTACTTATCTTATTCATTGCGATAGCTGAACCCTCCTTGTTTAGCGTTACTCACAATCCAAACATTGGCCCTCAGCGTTACTTCTTCTCATGCACCGGCGCACCTCTCGGTTAGCGTCGCATCTTTCGATGTTACTGGAACTCAAACGATCACATGGTCACTTTTCGGGTTTACATGTATAAAATCGTTTAAATCGTTTATGCAGAGCATTTTCATAAAAGGTCCAACAATCTTTTCTATCTTTTCTAAACCTTACGAAATTGCAAAAGATTACATGTTTCAATATAAACTACTTCTTACCCTTGCCAAATCGTTGGCGTTTTCTTACTGCATCAGCACGAAAGATGAGTATCAATCCAATGTAGAAACACATTGACGGTATTGCAGTACATGCATCCTCTGTTCATCGTATATTTAGGTATCAGTATAAGCATATAACAAGGGCTAAATAATAAAGACCGAATGCACTAAAAATAGACGCATCATGCTAAAACTGTGTATAAACGCTTCGGTTGCTACTCGCAGAATAACACGATCCCATCGTGCATCCACTCACATAATCTACTCATGATCACATCATGTTATCCAATCAGTTGAAATCGCGTTCGATTTCACTAACGCTAAGACGTTATATCAACCGGAAATAAAATAATTCAACTCTAATTTCAAACGTGTTGAATTTTAAATATCAGTGGTCATACTGTGTCAACTTAGTAACCCTTGCATATCGTGCTCACTCAAGTATTGAATAATTTTTGATCTAAATGTTTGTGGTTTATAAAAAAAATGTGATATATTTTAGTTAGAAATACATTAATTAATATATCCATTCAAACAGCACTAGAATGCGGGAAGAAAGAGCAATGGTGACAAAATGCAGACAGAATTTTCCGTAAGGGTTTCAAACATTTCTGGACACAATCATACATGTACTCTAGTGCTGTATTTATCGATATAATTTCACGTATTAAAATCATATTTTCCAGCAATGACTTCAAGTTCGGAACCACACCCATATCAAATTTTCTTCAATAACTCCAAACATGTGTAAACATTGACCATGTGCATATAAATTAAGATTTCACGAGCTCTTTCCTATTCGAGTACCTCATACACCCCTGCATGGATTTGAGTTGGATTCGCCTTTTATACGTGAGCCGGTACACATCGCAAACGCTGTTTGGATAAAGATTGCGAGAATCTTTAAGGAAAAACATTCAATTATCCAGATTTGACAGCTTTACTAAATTGCTAAAACCTCGTACATAAAGTACTTACTTTCGTTTCGTGCAAAATATCCGCCGTTAGATTATATTATATATATTAACAACGGTGATGTGTCTCGTGATTCAATAAAATAAATGTTTATGCTTAGCAATCTATGGCAAAATTGTGATAGTCACCTGTCAATACTATAATTATAGATGCAGGATGTTAACTTTTCTTGTAGTCCAACGCTGAGAGGTCAGAAATTGCTGGTGTATTTGATGCCATTAAGTCGAGCAGCGACCATTTGGACGAAACCTTCATTAAAGGCATGACCAACGATATTACAATCGCTGGCTCGATGACAACAACAGCACAAATAAAATCATTGATTGCATTAACAGTGGACTATCCGGAAGTACAACAGAAATTGCAAGACGAAATAGAAACGGTGTTGGGACAAAGGTACGCGCAACATACCCCAATAACTAATAACCAATGTAATAAATAGGCAATTTCAATCTTCATGCCCATGGAATCGAATTAACAATTTGAGTACATATTAAAAGTGAGGAGGGAATGCCAATACATCCCCCTCCCTCCTCCAAAATTTGGGTAAAGCGTGATCAAGTGGAACACATGATCCCAAAGGAGACTTCTGATTGCCGAGCTTAGAGGGGTTGTACCTGTACTACAGGGTGGTCAAAAAAATGGAAACCCTGCATTTTCCTCATATCTTTGTCATTTTAGAAAATTACTCCCTGATATTTCACACGTTTGTAAATCATTCAATTTCCTACTACCCTACCATATTACATGACCATCAGACTAATAGTCACACTTTTACAGCACTTTGAACAACATGCTTCAGGTTTGGCCATCATTGCGCTGTAGGCAAACCTGCACAGTTCTCAATGATCCAAATGCATGCCTCAGCAGGTATGGCCTGAATGATACAGATGATCTCACTTTTGAGGTCTGGAATTGTCCTGAGATCATTCTCATATACTCTATCTCTGCCATATCCCCATAGGTAAGGACATTTTTGACGACATGTGCAGGTTGGTCTACAGCGCAATAGTGGCCACCTGGAATATTCTTTTAAGTGCTGTAACACTGTGACTATCAATCTGATGGTCATGAAATAAGGTAGGCAGGTAGGAAATTGAGTGATGTACAAATGTACAAAGTTATTTCTTAAAATGACCAAGATATTAAGAAAATGGTTTTAGGGTTTCCAGTTTTTTTTTACCACCCTGTATATGTCTCCATACTAACAAATGTGAATGTGACTTTTAGAGTACCGACATATGAGGATCGGCGCTCAATGCCATACATGGAGGCGTTCATATTGGAGTCACTGCGTTATATGTCGGAGCTCGCACTATCTGTTCCACACGAAACCTTGAAGGACGTGACATTGAGGGGGTACTTCATACCTAAAGGCACCCAGGTAAGATGCCAATTGCAGATCTCTGAGGAAGGCAGATCTTAAAATAATAGTGAGAAAGAATCTTTGCTCTTGTGATTAATTAAACCACATATTTGAAAGTTCTTTTCCTTATTTTTTCATCTAGTACTGATAACTTCCTTGATCGATAGTACTGAAATGCTTTCCTTGATCGATGATGATAACGTGATCAAAAATACTTTTAGAATGGACAGTATGCAAAATGCTGAAAACAAAACACAAATAAGAAAAATACTGATTACTTTACAAATTCATCGAGAAAGATCATTTGAAATGAGTTTTTTGCCATTTTTATATGGTCAAGTCATGTAAGGTTTAAGTTCAATTTAATTATTAGATTTGGCCAAACCTGTATGGACTTCATCACGATGAGCGTTTCTTCCCAGATCCCTACACGTTTAAACCCGAACGTTTCCTCGACCAAAAAGGAGAGATGATACCCACTGACCAAAGAAAATAGTGAGCCAAGCGTTAATCTTTAATTTGTTTAATGTCCATTTGTTATTCTACTTATTCTAAGGAACAAATAAACCAACTGGGGACGTTTTCAAAATTACGCCTAACCACCTTAATGCCCCTGGACGTCTCTATTTTTACGGTCCCTCTTCCATCTTGAAACCCTGACACTCATTGCAAAAATCTCCGGGTTCACTTTAGATATTGTGTAGATCGTAGATATTTTGTGCATTGGCGCAGCAACATTTTTCATGATTAGTTATCACAAAAGAAAGAAAATTGTCGCTGTTGCATGAATTATGCATATATTCTTTTTTACTTTCCAGTCTGATGCCATTTGGGGGTGGAAAGAGAGTATGCATTGGAGAACAGCTGGCCAAGATTCGAATGTTTCTTTTCATGACAACCTTGCTTCAGCGCTACACACTGTACCCTGAGCGGGACGGATGCCCTCCAAACTACGACTCGCGCAAGTCAGTACTTGGACTGGTAATGCAGATGCATCCCTACAAGATTAAGACAGTCAAGAGATGATTAATGTTCATATTATTACAAAAAATGAACGCTGCAGCGTGCATTCAATTTCAAAGAAAAATAAACATTTCGAAAAGAATAAATAATGTTTATGAAAATTGAATGATCTCACATACTTTATACAGTAACATCACACTACTATACCTAACACCTAGAAATGCATAAGATACTTTGTTTGTCTAATTGGATTGTTTAGTATATTTTTGAAAGTACCTTATCAACATCTAACTTTCAACCGATAAACCATTAATAAGGAACAGAGGAATAAAAACAAATATATAATCATTACTAATAAGCCAAATGGGTTGCTCATGAAAGCCAAATGCAAGGTATAGTAGAGTGAACATGATAATATAACATAGATCTGAAACCAGATTTCAAGTTCCTTGTTGGACCTGATCATGAATTATATCAAAAAAAATTATTCAAAAAATTAATCATTCTTTGTGTAACCGTTAGAAAAATTATTATGGACTCGCAGGAAGACTTTAACACTAGGAAAATGTAAGCTACTAGAATCAATGCAAATTTTTACTTGAAACAAATTCAGTGATTGATTCTCACTATGTACCATGTACAACGTTGATTAATGTAAAATATTGACTACATAGTTATTAATAAACTATGATATCATGCACATTTGTAGGCTGAGCAACTGACTTGTCAAATCTTTCTAGAAACATATTTTTCAGGCGTTTTTAAACAATAAGCTAAAATAAGTTTCGTCTAATTGTTAACATGGCTTATGCCCCAGAATATGGAACATTTTTACATGTTTTATCCAACAACAATACCATGCTTATTATGATGCTTGATTAAATCGATCGATAGATTTAAAACCCAACAACTTGCCATTTTGAAAGTTAACTATATAACCAAGGAGCATTGGCTCCCAGGGTTCAAACTCGTTATTCTGCCATATATGGAGATGTCCTAATTACAAAAGTCTAATTGATAGAGCAGCTTTTTTGTTCGCTTCAGACTTTGAATCGCGAGTTTTGGTCTTATTTCCATACAAAAAATCCAAAATACACAAGAAGTGATCAAGATATTGTTTTGAATCTTTTGGACCGCTGATTATGAATTTATAGGCAATTACAATGTCACAAAATAACAACATTTTCAATGTTTATATATCGATCAAGGTCAAGGTCTAATATTGAGTTGAGTCCTCGAAACGAAAATACACGCTACCACTACATACAGGTACAGGTAGCATGTTATGCATAAATCATAGCAAATGTATCACATGTATCATTGATTTCCTTAAATGATAATAGAGAATCCCACCCGGAAATATTTAGGGAGATAAAACTGCTCAAAATCCTTCGTCCACCAACAATCAGGACCTAGACATATGTAAATTGGTGCTGAATAATGTCACCTTTCTGAAAAATAATGTCTGGTAGGTGGCTCTATAACTTCCCAAACCCTTGCTTGGTTGCTGAACCATGTGCAATAATGACCTTGCCAGGTCACCCCTCTCTCCCTGATATCTCCTAAAAATTAGTACCTACCTTTTTGATTTCTTGAAGGATTTTCTTTCCATTTTGGGGTAGAAGGTAACATGATTTGGTGACATATGTATTATATGTATGTATGATGTATGTATTCTTTTTATAAACAATTCAGTAGTCTAAATAAGCTATTGAAGGGGCAAATGATTCATTTCTTTATTAAAATCAAGAGTTCGTTTTTCTGGATGTAATTAATTTAGGTCTAGTTTGCTTATTGTCTTATGTGTCAGACAGCAGACAATAACAATTTTCAGGTGTTATCGGCGTCGAGGTGGGCTAATTTAGGCATGAAAAGTTTCCATATGCTTTAGATATTCCTTCATAAGCGGATTCGCCTGTTTGGAATATTTAATCCATACATGACATTTCCTTTTCATATGATTTTCAAATATAAAGGGATTGGTCTATTTATTTATTGAACCAGTAGTACACGGAATTCATGTTTCTTATAATTTTTGATGGAACAAATCGTTAAACTTTGTGGGGTGGTTCTGTATTGTATTTCAAGCAATTTTAGTCGCGTGTACAAAGATGTACAAGCCTCATTTTGGAAAAATGTCAAGTTATACCCCTCAGCCATTTTTAGGGAGGGGGTCAAAAATGAAAAAAATCATAGCTATCCAAATTTTTAGATATCAGGCCATTTTATGATAACTTTGATGATAACAAAGTATATGTCACACTCAAAAAAATTATTTGAGCTGAATTTAACTTAAAAGTCTCTTTTTAACCCTTTGACAACCAATATTTTGAAATGGCTACTAGACAAACACTTTATAAAAGGATCAACATTTTTTTAATTCCTTGATATTTTCTACTGTAAAAAATCACAGATGATGTGGAGGCTATGCCTAATACCCATGCAAAATCATGATCAAAAATATAAAGTATGAACAGAGTAAAAAATTCTTTAGCACATTGGTGCTTCTTCCAGGATTGAAGGGGTACCATTGAAAATTGATAAAATCTAGCAAGTCATATATCTAAGCATATCACCAATATTCAAATTGACTTCAGATCCATGTAGGGTACCTCAAAACATGCAAAATTTGATTGTTGATATTTTATGAATCACTATCAAAAGTGCTGATTCGGCACATTTTAACATTTTTGAGTCTGAGTTTGACATTATGTTGTGAACTGACTAATGGTTCACTTGACAAAAGAGCAATAGTTCTAGCTTGTACACCATATGACATTAGAAGAATTATCGACTAAATACTTAAGTTTCACTAAAATATTGTCATCCATATAAAAAAAATATGCAATTGCATACATGAATTAGAAAAACATGAAAAGAAGCACCGAAAGTATCAAAACAGGCTACAGACATTCACATATTGGATTTGGGCTTATTTCTGAGGTTTTAAACAGGTGCATATGTTAGGCCAGTGCATTACTCCAGGACAAGCACTCATAGAGATAAAAAGATTTGGATTTGAGACAGGGAAGGTGCAAACAACCCACCAACATGTTTTTTCAATGTTTGATGTATCATTTTACAGACTGTTCCAAAAGTTTGCCCCCCCCCTCTCCTATGCAAACATATACCAGCGTCATCACAGTATGTGTCATATATCATTTTAAAGCTCATCCAAAGTTACATTGATTTGCCAAGAATAATGGTTCAACTCTCAAATGGGAAAAATTGAGTCATTTTAAAATTTAGTGTTTGGCCAAAATAAAGTTCAATTTCACTCCACATTACAAGTCAATGAGTTGGTCATGTTATCAGCAGCAATTCTTTTCAGATAGGACCTTAAAAGCTCTTTGGGTTGTGGAATTTTGTAATCCTCTTAAAACCTTTTAAGGCACTTTTGAAGAGTTTCCTTTGAGTATCAACCCTCATTGTCTCTTTTTCCAACTCAATATCCATCCAACCCGAAAACAATTGCTGCTGTTAAGATGGCAGGGGAGGACACATTGACTAGTGATTTGGTGTTAAATTGAACTTAATTTTGGCCAAACACTAAAGATTGAAATGCCTTTAATTTTTTCACATTGGAGAGTTGAACCATGATACTTGCCAAATCAATGTAATTTTGGATAAATGATATGATACATACTATGAATTTTTATTGATAATGGTGCTTGGATCTGAGTTGTGTCCTGATTTTTGAGTGCTATATAGGACTTCTTCAAATGACCAAATGGTATGAATGTGGGGTGTGTCACCCATGAAAATCTTCACGGAACCAATCAAAATATTTGTTTCACCGGGAGTCACACTTCTAAAGTTTTAAAAGACTATTAAACTATTAAAAGAAGCTATTGATTTGATGTTTATCTATAATCAAACTGGGATTAATTGAAATTATCATTTAAATTTTGTTTTGTTTATTCAGGCAATGGGATTACATACTATAATAATCTTAAGTGATAATAACACACCTTGGGTGCAATTATGCTGGCTTTTCTCACCTGATACTGTGTGCTGTGTCACCTGTGAATATCTTCACATCATTAATCAAAAGTCTCCTAATATCTGTTAACAGGCAGTCACACTTATGAATGATAATTTTATGAATGATGATTTTATGACTGTTAATGAGGTTTCCATCAATATATTGAATGAATCTATTGAATTTGCTCATTCTATTAGCGTCCTAAAACTTTATATCTCTTCCATGCCCCACCGATATCCATTTTTTGGTCTCATTTTTCTAATCAAGTTCTCCATTCTATATAACCCTATAAAGTGCAAAAGAGAAAGGACTAATAGTTCCAGAACCCAGCAGATAAAAGAAGACATCTAAGTATAGACCAGTCATAAGGAAAACAAACCCCAACTATCCAATACCATAATCCAATGTGAATGGGAAACAATGTCTAGCCCCTCATCCCTACCATAAACAATTTACAGTTCAGAATATTTAAAAGAGCATATTCTTTTTCATTGCCTATTATCACCGACTCTTTCTAAGCACTTAGTATTCTTTTGGCAGGAATTCCATCTCAATCAGCTTTGACACTTATTGTTACTGTTCTGATTTTTGATTTCAAATGTTCAATGATAAGCAACTAGATTGTTTAAATATCAGCAGAAGATGTTATTTGCTCATCTGAACCTCATCACCTTTACTTATCTCATATAGAGCAAGTTAATCCTTAATTGTTTTTTACACCCTCTCAACGTTTTTGGGGTATTTGCAACCAGAGAAGCTTTTTTCATTCTGACTTCAGTTCAACATAGTTTAATCAATTACCTTTCAGAATATGTATGCATTATTTATCATGAATGCAAGAAAATATGTGAAAACCTTATCATAAGGAGTCAAGTGTTTTAGCATTTTGTATCATTTCATCATAGCATTTAGTATATAACCCTGAATGAATTGAATATCTTTTGGTGATAGTGATGTTCTTTGGTCTCAGGTAGCACAAAAAGTCATCATGCGATGTACATCTGGTTTATTTATCTGAAAGGAATTGGATTAATTGAGGATTTGATTAGATGGAATTTCATATTGATAGAATGATGATTTCTGATATATAATTATTGCAAAGAATGAGCTCTGGCCGGGGACCCTAAAAACCATTTAAGGGTTATTAGTGTGTAATAATAAAATCTACATATTATAATACCATGTGTAGTTTGTAGGTGCTTTTCAAACATATAACTATATTGCCATGTAAAATTTCACTACCACTTGTGATGACATATTGTTAAAAATCTTCAATATTTTTGTGGGTGGGTTCAGTGGTTGGTGTTTGGCAGTAATTGGTCAGTGGTTGCCAATCTTCTACTATTGGGTTCCCATTAGGGCTCTAATCAATTATTCAAAAATACTTAACAAAGTTTGTTTAGAATTATATCTAATACTTTCAATGTCACAAAGTGTTTATAGATGTGCTTTGTTATCAAATGTGCTTAATGAATATACATTACTTTGTAGCTACCACAATAAGATAAGCATTGTAATAAAAAATGAAGCAAAATGTGCACTTTTTCTATCAATTGCATTTTCTATTATACGGATGAAGATATTTTTCTGTAAGTTAAAGATCTGTTACATCTATTTCCAGCAACACAAAATGCAAAAATCAAAATGTTTGCTATTGAATAGTTTCTAACGAGCTTTCGGACTTTGACACTGATATAATAAAATATGCTGAATCAGCACTTTTGAGCCTGGACTGTCACCTGCAGGCAATAAATTACAATGTAACATAGGAATTTCATCAATACTGATACAACTAATGTACAAAATATAACTAGTATGACAGTATACTTAAATTTGACATTAATGTCTACTTACCCCCTCCCCTCTATAACCACAGGCCAGATATTTTACTAATTTTTTTTTTATGTAATAAATCCTGCATGAACTCAAAAATGTTTACATGTATTGAGGCATGAATCAAATTTTTCCTTGATTTTATTTCAGTTCTAGAACCATCTTGGAAGAGAAGATATACAATAAAACGTAATTAACATAGAACTTAAAGAATGTCTATATTTGGACATCAAAGGGTTAAAACCATACTTTTCTTTAGGCAGACATCATTAAAATAGCTTATACGCCTAAAATATAACATATTTAGATTGTGGCAACATTAGATTCCCCAGAATTAAGGAGGATTATTTTATTATAATTTTTTGAAACTTTACCCCTCTGAAAATTATGGGTGGGGGGTACAAAATCAATTTTCTCCCCCAAAACAGCTCTAGAACTTTGTACATGCGGATAAAAATGTTTTAAATGGATCACAGATACACTAAAATAAAATTCACGATTTGTTCCATACAAAATCGTAAGGGCCATTTTTTGTAATGAATTCCGTGTACTACAGGTCAATAATATACCTATCTTTCTTTAATGATTTTGAGATATCAAAACCAGTCAATTATCTCAGTCTCCGTAAACCAAGCACTGGCGGATCTGGGGGGGGGGCTGGGGGCCCGGACTCCCCCCTCCCCCCTTGGTGGGCCTTAAAGCCCCAAAAAGTGGGCCTTTTTGTCATAACTGGGCCTTTTAAGGCCTAATTTTTAATTTCAAGCCAAATTTTGAAGAAAATTGGTCTCAACATTTCAAAATTCGGGCCCACTTTTGGTTTTTTTTCTCTGACCTGACATTTGCCCCCCCCCCCCCCCTTGTTGGTTCCCAGATCCGGCCCTGCCAAGAGTCTTATTGACCTAAAACCTACATAGAATATATCAAGGCTTATCGGTCGTTACATGTTTTTTTAACTTTGGTACATGTCATTGTGCCGTGCAATTAAAACAAGTCTTTATCATACAACAATACCTTTGACTTCGGTTAAGCTGGAACTTAAACATGCTGCTTGAAACTTTTGCATTATGTGCGTCTATTTTACTCGTTATATTCGTTTTCAATAAATACAGCCGCAAGAAATGCACAGCTCCTGGACCACCACACGGAGTTCCCGTTCTTGGAAACCTTTTCCAGGTGTTTGACAAACAGGCGTTCCTTAAACTGTGCGATTGGCAAAAGGAGTTCGGAGATGTCTACAAATTGAATCTGTTTACCGAAGAAGTTGTTGTGGTGAATGGAGATGCCATTTATGATGTCTTAGTTACGAGCGGGGATGATTACGGTGGGCGAGTCCAGGCAGCTCGAGGTAGAATTTACTCCAATGGCTTTAGAAATATTGGTTTTAGGTAAGACGCATACTACCCTGTGGATATAAACAGTGTTCAATAACTTGACCCATATAGCCATCACAAAACTGTTTAAAGGTGACGCATTTTCGATGTTATTATTGGATTTATTTTATATTTTCAATATGTATTCAATGGTCTCTTTATTGGTCATGGTTTGTACGTTCTCATAGTTTTGAAATGGTTTCCCTACATGTTGGATCATACATTGGGATATTTGAAATTTGTTTTTCTAATGACTGGTTGCAATTATGCTCTTAGGTGTTCTTTTTTGTTTTTATTTGTAACAATTTTAGTCTTACACCTGTAAGTCGACACGATCCTTTTTGCATTTGATATTGCTCAGTTATTATGCTAGGCATCCTGATAAAGAATGGAAGACCATGCGGAAAATTGCTCAGAAAGGTTTGAAGCAGTATGGAGAAGGCGTGGCCAACATTGAGCGTATAAGTATGGAAGAGATTCGTGAATGCCTTGATAAATTTGACATAACAGAGCCTTTCGATCCGTCTGACGCAATCAAAGACATGGTTATTGGAATCATCATAATAGTTGTGAGTGTTGTGAAATTAATATCATGCCTAAAACAAGTTCAACATTTAGGTAAAATGTCTGGTTCGATATTCTTCGGCATTTTAATTTTTCGAGGGCGAAAATTTATTCTTATAATGAAAAGTAGCATTTGTTGTCAGAAAATAGTCAAGGTATCATTTTAATTTAAAACAGAAACGATGCAACGCCGCTTTGCTAGTCTGCAACATTTGATTTACAATTGCAGTCAATGGGTGTTAAACTAAGCGCTGATGATCCGTTATTCAAGAAGATCAAACGTACTGAAAAACTGTTTCCTCTTGCGTTCGGAGTTGATACGTCATACCTTGACGTGGTTCCTTGGCTAAGAAATCTTCCCAACAAGGCTACTCAGGGGTTCAATGATGCAATTAACGCAGTGCGACAAATGGAATCAGAAATATTTCAGAGATCAACGGTTTGTACTTTTCAAAGGAATGGGTTGTCATCTTTTCCATGTGTCAAAACAGACTAATTACATTAATTGTATCCTAGTGATTTTGAATCATAAAATAGCTTATATGACTTCCAACACATTAGTATATTTTGACGCCGAGTATACATTTGGAAATATCTATTACACCCTCGTATCAATGTCGTTTTATTGTAGTCTAACGTGGAGAAATCGAAAATTGCTGGTGTATTTGATGCCATTAATTCAAATAGCGAACATCTGGACAAATCCTTCATTAAAGGCATGACCAACGATATAACAATCGCCGGAACAACAACAACGACAGCACAGATAAAATCAATGATTGCATTAACAGTGGACTATCCGAAAGTACAACAGAAATTACAAGACGAAATAAAAACGGTATTAGGACAAAGGTACATGCACCCATGTTACTCAAGTTATTCGTAATGAATAGGCCAGTTCGATTCTCATGCGCATAAAATGAAATCATACATAAAACCTGAGCAGGCATAATGTAAACTTTTATCAAATATGAAGCCACTCCAATTAATCAATACAGATACACCCTACCCCTTTCAAAATTAGGCAACCGGGGGTCGGAGGGCAAAGCGTGTTAAAACTACTTTAAGTTTGAATCTTAGTTTAGTTAACACGTTATCTGAAAAGTGACTTTTGATAGCCTCTTTTTGAAGATCCTCAACATTTTTGGTACCTCCTTCCTTATCACTCAAATCAGTGTAACATTCAAACACCCCAAACCAACTCAAGTATGAGATACTTGATAATATGCAGGTTTTGAGTCATTGTATTCCTATGTAAAGGCAATGTTAATTCAATTCACCCTTGCTGAAATCCTCATTTTCTCAGAGGAAGTCAAGTTGATCGAGTCTCAACGAGTAGAATCATGTGGGATTGTACTACCAGAATCCAATTTCAATAGTAATAACGGGGTTTCTTAAACAAAAAATTGGGCTTGCTTAGAACCTTTTGTTGGCTATATATATGTCTTCATTGTGAAGCATGTGACCTTAAGATTACCAAAGTATGACGATCGGCACTCTATGCCATACATGGAGGCATTCATATTGGAGTCAATGCGTTATATGTCGGAGGTCGCACTATCTATACCGCACGAGACGTTGAAGGACGTAACATTGAGGGGGAACTTCATACCCAAAGGCACCCAAGTAAGATGGCAATTGCAAATGGGTTAGGCGAACTTGCAAATAATCACGAAAGATAATCTGGACTATTTGAAATTTTCTGAAAACTTTTTTGAAATTGAAAACAAAATAAAGATATAAAATACTGATACCGCTATACTAGATATAATACCACAATGACGATTTTGAAATTAATGAAACATGTCCAAGTCTTGCATTTTAATTTAATTTGATTTTTAGATTTGGCCAAACCTGTATGGACTTCATCACGATGAGCGATTCTTTCCAGATCCCTACACCTTTAATCCCGAGAGATTCCTTGACTCAAAAGGAGAGTTAATACCGGTCGATGAGAGAAAATAGTGAGTTATTCTTTCAACTAAATTACATCCTATGTTTTTGCATGAACTCCAGGGGCTATGTACGGGGGAAATTGGATCCGTCCGTCCGTCCGTCCGTCTGTCCGGGCGATGACTCAAATACCGTTGGTCCGAGTTTGCTCATATGTTGTACACATATGCCCTATCGGGGTAGATGTTCTGCTCGAAACCAAATTTTCAAAATGGCCACTCGTTTAAAAAAGGCGGCCATTTTAGTGCGGATTTTAGAGTTATTTAGGTACAATATATAAAACTGTTTTAAATATTAAAAAAATTATATAGGACATCAATAAAGCTACAAATGTAGATACTAGTATTTAAGAAGCACGTGGCAGTCATCTTGAGAAATGGCGGCCTTTACATGCTATTTTTACGTTTTTTGTTGTAACTCCGATTTTGTTCATATTTGATATATGAATACTATATGCTTGGCACACTGTCTAATGGCAGTTTTGGTAGAAGGCGGCCATTTTGTGTGTTCTTTTATGAGTTTTGCTATATACTTCGTTTGTAAAATGCCAGCCATGACTGTTCGATGGGATTTGCTACACGTTGGCGTTGCTGTTGTCTAGTTATCAAATGAAAGGCAATTTAGAGTAGATTGCAAATATTGTGTAATTTTTTTATTTGGGGCTCAGAAATTCAACGATTGTCATCTAAATGGAGATTTTGAAATAATGTACCAATCTCTTCAAAGTATGACCATTATATTATTCTTGAATTGAAGAAAATCTAGAGTAGATCACAGTTATATGGTATTGTTTTTCTGATTCGTGCCTCAGAAAATTCAAAATGGCTGCCTGAAGATGGAATTCACTATAAATTAGAGATCTCTTAGTTGGGATTTGCTCCTCCGTGGAGTTGCAGATTTCTAGTTATGATCCTACTTCCATCTTGTAACCCTGGCACCCTGGCCGATGTTGCACCTGTTTTAAGTTGCATGTTTGAATTTGTACTTTGCAGTTTGATGCCATTTGGAGGTGGTAAGAGGGTATGTATTGGAGAACAGCTGGCCAAGATTCGAATGTTCCTTTTCATGACTACCTTGCTTCAACGTTACACACTGTGCCCCGAGCGAGAAGGATGCCCTCCAAACTACGACTCGCGCAAGTCAGTACTTGGACTGGTAATGCAGATGCATCCCTACAAGATAAAGACTGTCGCGAGATGACGCGTTGCACATTACAACAAAATATGAAACGCTGCTGCGTTCACTCAATTATGAGTGAAAAGTGTTCGATAATGATAATTATATATATGAAAAATAAAGAACCTTCAAATAATATAAGATAGATCTAAAAAAGATTTCAAGTAGGTTATTGGGCCTGTTATGTAAGAGAAATGAAGCTATGTAAAAATTTTAATCGTTCTTGATAGACTCAAAGGAAGACTCTAACACTGGAAAGGGGAAAGTTATAAATGCAAGTTTTTACTTTAAACAAAGCGATTGATTCTCAATATATGCCATCTATAACATTGACTACATAGTTATTAATAAACGACAATATTATGAATATGATAGAACTGTCAAACTGATAGTATAACTGGTACAATATATTCCATGTAAGGTTTTAATATACAAAAGAAAAATACATTATTTTATTAAAAAGTTGTGTGCTCATAGATTTAAGTTTGGTTAAGGGTCCAGTTTGTTTTTCGTCGATTGCAAAAATGATACATTTGCTTTGGTTATAGAAATATTTGTATTATCATCAAAATCGGAATATCTATTTAAAAGCATGTCTATTTTATCAGAGGAATTGCAATCTAAAAATGCACTTAAACACTCGGCCATATGGAGATCGCTAAGGAGTTGGTATATTGGATTTATATACAGAGGGCATTATAGAAAAAGTGTTGTGGTGTTTAAAGTGGTGTGTTGTGGTGTTTCAGATGTTATCGGCGTCGAGGTGGGCTAATTTAGGCATGAATAGTTTCCATATTCTTTAGATATTCTTTCAAAAGCGGATTCGCCTGTTTGGAATGTTTAATCCATACATACTAGTATACATTTCATTTTCATATGATTTTCAAATATTAAGGGATTTGTCTATTTATTTATTGAACCAGGTCAATAATATACCTATCTGTCTTATATGTTTTTGAGATATCGAAACATGTCAATTATCTCAGTCTTGGTATACCAAGGGTCTTATTGACCTAAAACCTACATAGACAGTAGATCTCATCAAGGCTTATCAGTCATTACATGTTTTTTTAACTTTGGTACATGTCATTGAGCTTTGCAATTAAAACAAGTCTTTATCATACAACAATACCTTTGACATCGGTTAAGCTGGAACTTAAACATGCTGCTCGAAATTTTTGCATTATGTGCGTCTATTTTACTCGTTATATTCGTCTTCAATAAATACAGCCGCAAGAAATGCACAGCTCCTGGACCACCACACGGAGTTCCCGTTCTTGGAAACCTTTTCCAGGTGTTTGACAAACAGGTGTTCCTTAAACTGTGCGATTGGCAAAAGGAGTTCGGAGATGTCTACAAATTGAATCTGTTTACCGAAGAAGTTGTTGTGGTGAATGGAGATGCCATTTATGATGTCTTAGTTACGAGCGGGGATGATTACGGTGGGCGAGTCCAGGCAGCTCGAGGTAGAATTTACTCCAATGGCTTTAGAAATATTGGTTTTAGGTAAGAAGCATACTACCCTGTGGATAAAAGCAGTATTCAATAACTTGACCCATATAGCCATCACAAAACTGCTTAAAGGAGACGCATTTTTTGATGTTAGTATTGGATTTATTTTATTTTTTCAATATGTATTTAATGATCCCTTTAATGGCCATGGTTTGAACGTTATTATAGTTCTGAAATGGTTCCCTTACATGTTGGATCATACATTGGGATATTTGAAATTTGTTTTTCTAATGACTGGTTGCAATTATGCTCCCAGGTGTTCTTTTTTTTTTATTTGTAACAATTTTAGTCTTACACCTGTAAGTCGACACGTTCCTTTTTGCACTTACCATACATATATTCATCATTTTTCTAAATGATTTTTGTAAAACATTTGATATTTGATATTAGGCATCCTGATAAAGAATGGAAGACCATGCGGAAAATTGCTCAGAAAGGTTTGAAGCAGTACGGAGAAGGCGTGGCCAACATTGAGCGTATCAGTATGGAAGAGATTTGCGAATGCCTCAATAAGTTTGACAAAACAGAGCCTTTCGATCCGTATGATGCAATCAAAGACATGGTTATTGGAATCATCATAATAATTGTGAGGGTTGTGAAATTAATGTATCATCCTACTGATATCATGCCTAAAATAAATTCAACATTTAGGTAAAATGTCTGGTTCGATATTTCTCGGCATTTTTATTTTTCGAGGGCGAAGCATTATTCTTATAATGATAAGTAGCATTTGTTGTCAGAAAATAGTATAAAATTAAAAATATTAAAAGGTATCATTTTAATTTCAAACAGAAACGATGAGACACCTCTTTGCTACTTTGCTAGTCTGCAACATTTGTTTTACAATTGCAGTCAATGGGTGTTAAACTGAGCGCCGATGATCCGTTATTCAAGAAGATCAAACGTGCTGAAAAACTGTTCCCGTTTGCGTTTGGAGTTGATACGTCATACATTGACGTGGTTCCTTGGCTAAGAAATATTCCCAACAAGGCTACTCAGGGGTTCAATGATGCAATCAACGCAGTGCGACAAATGGAATCAGAAATATTTCAGAGATCAATGGTATGTACTTTTCAAAGGAATGGATTGTCATGTTTTCCATGTGTCAAAACAGACTAATTACACTAATTGTATCCTAGTGATTTTGAATCATACAAGGTAATGCTATCACCTTACTCCATAATAACGTATATGACATCCAACACATTAATGTATTAAAGTATAATTTTGACGCCCTGTATACATTTGGAAATGTCGATCACACCCTAGTATCAATGTCATTTTATTGTAGTCTAACGTGGAGAAATCGAAAATTGCTGGTGTATTTGATGCCATTAATTCAAATAGCGAACATCTGGACAAATCCTTCATTAAAGGCATGACCAACGATATAACAATCGCCGGAACAATAACAACTACAGCACAGATAAAATCATTGATTGCATTAACAGTTGACTATCCGAAAGTACAACAGAAATTACAAGACGAAATAGAAACGGTATTAGGACAAAGGTACATGCACTCATGTTACTCATGTTATTCGTAATGAATAGGCCAGTTCGATTCTCATGCGCATTGAATTAATTTAATCAAACATAAAAACTAAGTATAGTAGGCATTTGTAAACTTTTATCAAATATGAAGCCACTTCAATTAATCAATACAGATACATCCTACCCCCTTCAAAATTAGGCAATCAGGTGTCGGAGGGCAAAGCGTGTTAAAGCTACTTTAAGTTTGAATCCTAGTTTAGTTAACACGTTATCTGAAACGTGACTTCTGATTGCCAAACTCAGAGGGGAATGAACTTTCATTATAGCTAACCAACTTTTTCAAAAAGGACTTAGTTTAGCTTTAATCTATGTTTACTTTAAAAAATATATTCTTACTTATTTGTTCCACCAATGCTCTCCCACATGAGACTGCTGCTCGATAAACTTAGTTCTGAGATAACGAGGGGTTTGTGTTTATTCCTATAATGACGTACATGTACATATTAAGGTGTGTGTACTGGGAGGTTTTGGATATTCTCAGGATATACCGTATATTCAAAACCGACCGTACATAGCTGGTGTACCTCATACCATGGGCTTTCAATTCAAAATCCCATGCTCATACTTGTATGGGGTTGGGATTGTTTCATCTTCAGTAGTTCATAGAAGATCCTCAAGATTTTTGGTAGCTCTTTCTTTATCACTCAAATATATAGAGATTATCCTATATGAGGTTCAGGATATTGGGATTATCCCGAGGCCAATATAATATATTTGCCCGAGGTCCCGAGGGAAAATGTATTATATTGGCCAAGGGATAATTTCAATATCCTGAACCGACTATAGGATAATATGTTTATCCCATACCAATCTTGGTCATCTGGTTCACATTGTTCAATTGTGGAAATATTTTATAATATTCATGTCCAGTTTTGTTTTCTTGGCCGTGGATGGATTTTCCTGTTCTCTCAAATATTCCCACATTTATTTTCTCGAATTTTTGATTATGAACAAATATGCGAGCGGCGATTATGACGTAGCGGGCAGATATACTATATCTGCCCGCTCGGAGCGGGACGTAAAGCTATATCTGCCCGCTGATGAAAATATAAGTTTTTACAAACTGGCTTTACGTACCTATAACCAAGTATGGAATAAATACAATATATCCTGCCCACTCATCAGATATATATGATATATATTCCCGGGTAATATCTACCCCAAACCCGCTCAAGTATGAGATACTTGATAATATGCAGGTTTTGAGTCATTGTATTCCTATGTAAAGCCAATGTTAATTCAATACACACTTGTTGAAATCCTAATTTTCTCAGAGAAAGTCAAGTTGATCGAGTCCTTTTGTTGGCTAAATATATTTCTTCATAGTGACGCATGTGACCTTTAGATTACCAAAGTATGACGATCGGCACTCTATGCCATACATGGAGGCATTCATATTGGAGTCAATGCGTTATATGTCGGAGGTCGCACTATCTGTACCGCACGAAACCCTGAAGGACGTAACATTGAGGGGGTACTTCATACCCAAAGGCACCCAAGTAAGATGGCAATTGCAAATGAGTAATGATACCTCTATACTAGATATAGTACTATAATGAAGATAATTTGAAATTAATGAAACCTTTTACCTTTTAACATGTCCGTGTCTTGCATTTAAATTTAATTTGATTTTTAGATTTGGCCAAACCTGTATGGACTTCATCACGATGAGCGATTCTTTCCAGATCCCTACACCTTTAATCCCGAGAGATTCCTTGACTCAAAAGGAGAGTTAATACCGGTCGATGAGAGAAAATAGTGAGTTATTCTTTCAACTAAATTATACCCCATGTTTTTGCACGAACTCCAGGGGCTATGTACGGGGGAATTTGGATTTTTGAGGTCTTTGAAGTGCATGTTTATTTTCCCATCCAACGAAGTTCGGAGGGATATAGGGAACGCCTCCGTCCGTCCGTCCGTCCGTCCAGGCGATAACTCAAATACCGTTGTCCCGATTTTGTTGTACACATATGCTCTTTGGGGGTAGAAGTTTTGCTCGAAACCAATTTATCAAAATGGCTGCTCGTTTAAAAAAGGCGGCAATTTTAGTGCAGATTTTAGAGTTATTTAGGTACAATATATAAAACTCTTTTAAATATAAAAAAATTATATAGGACATCAATAAAGCTACAAATGTAGATATTTAAGAAGCACGTGGCTGCCATCTTGAAAAATGGCGGCCTTTACATGCTATTTTTACGATTTTTGTGTGTGGAGTGGAGCGATTTTGTTCATATTTGATATATGTATACTATATGCATGGCACACTGTCTAATGGCAGTTTTGGTAGAAGGCAGCCATTTTGTGTGTTCTTTTAATAGTTTTGCTACCTACTTCGTTTTTCAAAATGCCAGCCATGGCTGTTCCATGGGATTTGCTACATTTTGGCGTTGCTGTTGTCTATGTTATCAAATGAAAGGCAATTTAGAGTAGACTGCAAATATTGTGTCATTTTTCTGATTTGGGGCTCAGAAATTCAACGATTGTCATCTAAATGGAGATTTTGAAATAATGTTCCAATCTCTTCAAAGTATGACCATTATATTATTCTTGAATTGAAGAAAATCTAGAGTTGATCACAGTTATATGGTATTGTTTTTCTGATTCGTGCCTCAGAAAATTCAAAATGGCTGCCTGAGGATGGAATTCACTATAAATTATAGATCTCATAGTTGGAATTTGCTCCACCGTGGAGTTGCAGATTTCTAGTTATGGTCCTACTTCCATCTTGTAACCCTGGCACCCTGACCGATTTTGCACCTATTATGCATGTTTCTGGGCCTTTGAATTTGTTCTTTGCAGTTTGATGCCATTTGGAGGTGGAAAGAGAGTATGTATTGGAGAACAGCTGGCCAAGATTCGAATGTTCCTATTCATGACCACCTTGCTTCAGCGCTACACACTGTGCCCCGAGCGAGAAGGATGCCCTCCAAACTACGACTCGCGCAAGTCAGTACTTGGAATAGTGATGCAGATGCATCCTTACAAGATAAAGACGGTCGCGAGATGACGCGTTGCACATTACAACAAAATATGAAACGCTAATGCGTTCACTCAATTTTGAGTGAAAAAATGTTTTGAAAAATAAGTTTTCGTTACTGATAATTATATCTATGAAAAAAAAGAACCTACAAATAATATAAGGTAGATCTAAAAATAGATCATAAGTATAGGTTATTGGCTCTGTTACGTTAAAGAAATGAAGCTATGTAAAATTTTAATCATTGTTCTTGATGGAGTCTAACACTGGAAAGGGGAAAGCTATAAATGCAAGTTTTTACTTTAAACAAAGCAATTAAAGCAATTGATTCCCAATATATGCCATTTATAGCATTGACTACACAGTTATTAATAAACTACAATATTATGAACATTTATGTTACCGTGTATTTTGCAGGATGGGCAATTTTTTTAATAATCATTTATTTCATGTATAGAATACAAGCAATAATACAAATAATAAGGTTTGACAAAGTTAAGAACATTATTGTCAAACTGATATTATAACTGGTACAATATATTTCATGTAAGGTTTTAATTTACAAAAGAAAAACACATTATTTTATTAAAAATGGTCAAGTTGTGTGCTCATAGATTTAAATTTGGTTAAGAGTCCAGTTTGTTTTTGGTTCATTGCAAAAATGATACATTTGCTTTGATTATAGAAATATCTGTATTATCATCAAAATCTGAATGTCCATTTAAAAGCATGTCTATTTTATCAGAGGAATTGCAATCTAAAAATGCACTTAAGCAATCTGCCAAATCAAGATCTCTAAGGAGTTGGCATATTGGATTTATATACAGAGGGCGTTGTAGAAAAAAGTGTTGTGATGTTTCAATGTGGTGACCAAAGGCACATTCTGGTGAAGGCACATTATTAAAATGATGTGCAAAAAGCTGACTTTTTAAATTAAGGTCTACTCTGAGTCTATTAAATGAGACTTCATTTTTTCTTGTCACATTACAATAAGTTATAAGATTAGTAGGATTTCCAAAGTGTGCCTCAATCCTACGTTTCAAAATTGAAATACCTGTTTTCATACAATGAATAAACCCAATGAGCTCAAGCGTCTCGAACACACCAGAGGTATCATTCATACACACATTCACACACACATAATAAGCTCGACTGTCATTAAGAACCCAGAGCGGGTTATTACCTCTGCAACTGAAAGCGCAGACAGTGATCATAAATGAATAAACACAAGAACCTCACGCGAATATCTCCATAGTCAATTCGACCCAAAAGAAAGGCGTAATATATGGTCTCTAAGTGTTTGGATCTTAAAAGCCTGAGACTGTTTTATTAATTCATTTATATGCTCTTAAATGTTAGTTTTTGATGAAAAATAATACCCAGGTGCTTAGGAGAATTTTGTTTTTCTATTGGGTTAGTTCCCAATAATAAAATTGGTTCAATTTGAACAATGGTTGTTGGTGGGGTGAAAGTCAAATCAACTGACATTGAGGCTTTAAAGTTCATTTGCCATGTTTTGGCCCAGTTGTACATTTTATTTAGATCTTCTTGGAAATCAAGACATTTTTAGGCTGATCTTTGGGATAGGAGCTAAAAGTATTATCTATAAAGATAAAAGTGTTGGAGGTTGAATTATTTGGCAGATCATTCATGTAGATAAGAAACATTAAAGGATCTAAAATGCTGCCCTGGGGTACACCTGCATTTAGAAAGTTTGGTTGAGACAAATTTGAAAACTTTTTATTTATTTTGACTTTAACCTGTCTACTCGAAAGATATAAAGCAAGAGTAGGTCATCCTTTATACCATAAGCTGATATTTGTGAGGCAGAAGATGATGAGGGACGACATCATTGCTGATCCCAGGTCTAAAAATATTGTACGGACATTATTTCCATTACTAAGCTCCTCGTGAATACAATGAACAATATAGGCAAGTTGGGATGTGGTATTGTGTAAAGGGAGAAAACCAGATTGAACATCATAGAAAATATTATTTTGACTCAAGCGATTAAAAATTCTCTTGTTAAGCACTTTTTCTAAAATTTTTGACATTGAATTTAAGATGGTAATCGGTCGATAATTTTCAATATTCGATTTATCTTTCTTTTTATGGAGAGGAATGATGATACCCTCTTTCCAAACTTTTGGAAATGTATGTGCATTTAATACCTCGTTGAATGATAAATCTAAATCTTTTTTAAGTTTTAAAACTTCTTCACTAGTCTTTACATTGCGTAGGACATTATTACATCGAGAAGGAAACTCAGGTAACACAACTGGATTGATAATGTTAATGTGATTTTTCTGAGTATAGAATTTAAGAAAAAGTTCGGCCTTTCCAATAGAAGTACCAGCTGATAACTTTGGAATTTTTAAATGTAAAAAGGGCAGTGATGTGTCAAAGGATTTACCAAGCAATTTATTAAGAAGAACCCAATAATCAGAAGAGTTGGAAATTAGAATACATATCTTATTACAAGTCTCTTCCAATGTAAGATTGTTTTGCTTCCTTAATTAATTTGACTATCTTTTCACTCTGAGTTTTAAATTTATTAAAATAGTCAGGATTATTTGAACGTTTGAATTTATGATGTAATCTATCACGAATGTTAATTCAAATTCCTTTCCTTTTACTACAAACTATTTATTCAAACGTTTTTAGTTCATATCAAAGACCCTGAATATGAGATATTCTAGTTTTCCTATCCAGTAATATCATGGCATCATACCAGTCCAAGATCTGAGCTCTTCATAGCATTGGTGCCACTGATCATGATGGAAATAATCAATAACCTTTAAAATCAATGTATTGCGTGTATAACATTTTATACACCCTTGTAAGGACGCTTTGTTGTAAATTCAATAAATCTGAATTTGATTTTAAATGGATACATTTTATGAAAGAATAGTATGAATCCAAACATTTGGCAAAACTATTTGTAAAAAATGTTTATTGAATTGTGCATAGAAAAAATAGCGGATTTCTCAAGTTGGCACCCTGACCAAGGAGGATTGGCTCCCAGAGTGCACCACCGATATTCTGTCCCATATATGGGTATGTCGTAATACAAAATTCGAATTCAAACAGCCGCCATTTTGTTCACTTCAACATTTAAATCGTGAATTTTGGTCTTATTTCCAAACGAAAAATTCCAAAACTCACAAGAAACGATCGAGATATTGGTTCGAATCTTTTGAACTGTTTATTTTGAATTTATAGTCGGTTTTAATTTCAGAAAATAACGACATTTCGACGTTTTCATTGTTGGAAAATATCGAGTTTCGATCCTGGGAGCCAATCCTCCTTGCACCCTGACTTGGTTGACGACTAAGGTTAAGGTAAACACGATTTCCCTTACAATTCACCCTATGCGCAATCTGTCCTCAATGCACATCCACCGCTCTTAGGCGGTTATAACACAATTAAACAAAACACTTTTTTTACGATGTGGATGGCTGTGCGCGACCCATTTATTGGTGAACACTGAAACTAACATATAACATAACACGTCCAATCAATCTCTGAACTCCAACTCCGAACCCAATACTCAAAGAACAATCTCGGACATATTCTCGGCCACTTGTGCGGAACAATGGTCGTTTAGGTTTCGGAACCCATTTTTATACACATTTTAACTGCCTTGAAATATATACTACAGTCGGTATAAAACCTTAGAAAAGCATAAAAGTATGCTCTTAACTTTTAAATTGCTTCTATTCCATAACAATAATATCTCGGAGATATTCTCGGCCACTTGTTTGGAATAATGGTCGTTTAGGTTTCGGAAACCATTTTTATACACAATACAATGTTCTTGAAACATTGTTCTACAATTTATTCTTGAAATTCTTATTCGTTTTTTTTTAATTTTAAAACATTAAATGCTTAAGAATAGCATTATTGAATAACATTCTGAAATCTGTAGTTTTTCAAATAGACCCCCTAGTGTGTGTTTACCTATATGAAATGAAAAAATCATTAATTTAAGATAACAAAAACAAGTTATTTTCTTATATAGTTTCCAATGAAGGCTTGTTAAAAATGACAACTGAGATACTTAGTACTTTAGTGATTGTTAAAATAAGATTGTAATTATTTTTTCTCGATGTATGTTAGATGTTCGAGAGACCAATAAACTTATTATTAATAAAAATAATGATATATAAATTCAAACAGGATTTATTTACTTAAACATGTTCTTCAGATTGGATTATCAAATCACAAAAATATTTTTTTCTTTTCACAACCATTTTTATTAGACAGTACGTTTCGGATCCTGTCTGGATCCTTTTTCAACTGTATGAAAACTGAACTGAAGCGCTACCGAAACGTACTGTTTATTAAAATAAAGGTTGTGAAAAGAAGAAAAAAATATTTTTGTTTTTTAGGATTTATTTAACTAACAAACTAAACAAAAGGGCTATTAAACGAAATTTACAGTGTCAACTTACCAGATTATTGATATACTTATTTGTCCTAAAAAGAATTGAAAGAAACCAGTCGAGTTTTAAGTACCCATATACCAAGGGTGATATTGACCTCTAAACATCTTGCATTCATCAAGGCTAATCGGTTACATGCTTTATTTGAACTTTGCTTCATACTTTTTTGTGTTGTGTTTTGCATTTACAACGTCTTTATGAGATAACAACGCATTTTATATCGGTTAAAGCTAGAGCCTAGAAATGCTGTTTGAACTTTTTGCATTTTGTGCGTCTATTTTACTCGTTATATTCGTCTTCAATAGATACAGCCGTAAGAAATGTACAGCTCCTGGACCACCACACGGGCTACCAATTCTTGGAAACCTTCTCCAGGTGTTTGACAAACAGGTGTTCCTAAAACTGTGCGATTGGCAAAAGGAGTTCGGAGATGTCTACAAATTGAATCTGTTTACTGAAGAAGTTGTTGTGGTGAATGGAGATGCCATTTATGATGTCTTAGTTACGAGCGGGGATGATTATGGTGGGCGAGTCCAGGCAGCACGCAGTAAAATGTACTCTAACGACTTTAGGAGTATCACTTTT